CTGCTGCAGTTAGAGGGAAAGAACCAAAGCATTAAACACTACAGTCCACCAGCTCTCCCCATTTCAGAAAACAGGAGCTCTTATTTCCTACTCAGAGATCACTTAAATGAAATTCACTCTCCTGCTCTTCAAACCATATAATACAGTATGCTAACATCTATGTCTCTTGTAATATGTTCAGGATGAGATGCTTGCACTTAATCAAAGAAATTAAAATCTAAGGCTAAGCAGAGAAATTCAGATTCAAACTACTTGAGTCTTAGTCCAAGATTAGTTGAAAGCGGACTTAACTCTGGCCCTGCCAGCACTGATTAGATTTACATTTCTACAAATATGAAACTGTCAATGGTATAAATCAGTAAGCAAGCTTCTCATCTTTCATGCCACAGGGAACCAGAGAGGATACCCATTTCCATCAAACTCAACAAGTGGGACACAATGCAATTTAGTTGTACGGTTCTATTTTAAGTGAGAAACATATACTGTTCCTTTACCCTAGACCTGGGATAAACCGTACTGGGATAAAATGGTGCATTGGGTAGTGCAGCTGGCCCTCCTGTCTGGTCTATTACCCTGTGAAACAAGGAAACAACAACAGAAGTCAAGGAATGCAGTTTCACTAATGAGCAACCAAAATTAACCATTCAGCAACTCCTTCAAAAAGGCCCTTTCAGTTTTTGAAAAAGCTAGTTGTCTGTCCATCACCAAAAAGACTGTACGCTTTCTTACAAAAATGCTTCATACAAACAGTCAGAACTTCATGTCTGTGTTTTCTCTAGAGGACCATTACTTACACCATAGCACCCTCATGCTTCAAATTGCTAATTAATTCAGGAACAATGATGCCTCTCCTACTGAAACACCAGCAGAGCTATAGAATTTATTTGGTCTCAGAGATATTTTTCCTTCCTTTGTAAGAGCACAAGACCACAGTCCAGGACATTAGAGCTCTATGCTGTATCTTAGATCAAGATACTTCAGTTTGATTCTGCTCCTATATTTGGGGGCAGAGAAGAAGAAAAACTGGAAGAGGGCCATGAGAAGTTTGGAATTTCAATAAAAATCTTGGAGGGAAAAAAAAAATCACAATTGTGTCCACAGTTTGAGTCCCCCTATAGTGATATAATAATATAATCATTCTGTATTTTTTTATTGCAATATGTTGCCTAACAATCAGAAAGTACTGTAGGTCAAATTAAGTCATAGTAAAAAAAAAAAAAAAAAAAAAAAAGGTCAGAGTGAACTGCTGCTGGATCAAGTCTCCAGAAACTATATTAACTCCTAGTAATTGTGTAGCAAATGTTCAGCTCCTAATGGCTGATGACACTTTGATTTGGCTGTAAAGGATAGTATGAGTACTAATTACCCTACTAGTTAGAAACTACTGCACAGACCGCTCCTTTGCTCTGCGATTTGCCCTCCTAACGGTCACAAGAGACTCAGATTCCCTTTCTTAGGCCATTCTTTCACTTCCTACCTGGCAGGAAACCTGAAGAGGTAACAGGTTACTTTCTAGGCTAATTTAAGGAAGAAACATGCTCTTAAGCAAAACCCAGAGCTGAGCAGAAAGACTGATGTAGACTTTCAAACTGACGGGGACTAGATATTTTTCTGGGTATGTACAAACATATTGTTAAATCTTTGGGAAGAAGAAGTGAAAGCAGTAGGTTAGGAACTAGTTACATGCTTGTCACATACTCGAAGAGGTGAGGAACAAAGCCACTCCTCAAAAAACAATCCCGACAATCTGAAAACTTCTCTTCTAGCTCTACTCTCTGTACCTAACGCGCACACACACTCAGTAGCAGTTGTTACTCGAGAAGTCAGCTAAGAGTCAAGTCACTGTGCACACAACAGCATGAAATTTGAAAACTGATGAAGAAAATCAGCAGGTCAGGATAATCAACTGATGATATTGAAACCAGAATAAAGCTTGAGCCTCAGGAGGAACGGGTCAAATAATCAGGCAATTCCCTGAAAAGGGGGAGGGTATAAACACAGAAGTTGTATTAAAAAGAAAAGCTTTAGATCTGCTACAAGATACCAATAGTTGCATATTCTAAACTGGAAATAAACCAGTTATCTAGACAGGACAATCCAAAACACACTCATGCAATGGTATTAGAATGACAAAAATCCCCCCAAAACAACAAAAGCATTTCCTTAGGTTTTAGCTGGGAGAAAGAAAGATTTTACGTTTAACACTTTCAGATAATTACTTTAGCACTGAGAACATTATGCTGCTTTAGTCATTTATCGGGCCCGAAGTTCTTTTCTTTAAACAAAAGCTTGGCTTCTACAAAAAAGCCTCAAAGAGCTGAAGGACGCTGAAAATCGAGGACTCTAAACCTTGCCCTACAGACTAGGTTCAACCGCATCTCCATGGCTTCTATTGCAATCTTGTGACACATTCATTGTAAGTATTATCACTTCCACTGGACTGCAGTAGAATAACTAAGGGGCTTAGAGGTGGCTTGCTTGACCTACTTGGATAGTTTTGGTGATTTTCATGGCTGGATTTACTGTCCCCATAGCTGGGCTGATAGCAGCAGCAGCAGCAGCAGGAGTGCTCCTTTTTAAGCTTATCTTCTCTCTGGCATCCACCACTTTGGTCACCTTTTCAGCAGCAATACTTTGCTGCTTACGGGAATTCAGCATCTCTCGAGCATCCTGCACTTTCCCTTTGATTTTGAAACGAGCGTCCTTCTGAACCAGTTTTTCACGGGCATCCTTAACTCCCAGTTTGTGTCGGGCATCAGTGAGGCCAATCTTCTGCCGGGCATCAAATGTCCGCTGGAAGCTGACAGCTGGTGAGGATCTACTGAGAAGATTTTGCTGGATCCCAATGCGAGATCTTACACCTCCAAACACTGGCCTTGTGTTAAGCCTAGAAAGAGAGTTTCAGACGTTGTAAGAAAAGATTTAATATCAGTAAAAGTATCTGAAGTCACTATTACTACACACAACCCTATCCAGGTTAGACGTCCAAAAAACAGTAGAGAACCTAAGCTGTTTTACATTAGCTATTTACTTACAAAGTAAAATATAAAGAACTGATTTCTAAAATTGGTCCTTAAGGTCATATTTATGAGCCCAAGGCTTGACTTGAGCTGTGCTAAATCCATCCCACACCCAAATGAAATTTATCAAGAACTTAGGTACTTCAGGGAGCCCTCTGAACACAAAGAGAAACAGAAACAGATGATCCAGGTTTAGGATTGACCAGGTCCTCTAAAACATCTTTTGTAACACAATATGTCCTGGTACAAAGAAAACATGAAACTACATGTGATTTCGAAGAATTCTGGACAACAAGTTCAGATTTTCAGAAGTGCGGGAGGCTTTGATTTTAGGCTGCACAAGCACCAGTACAAATCTCAGCTGAAGGCCACCAACTCCAAAACCGATTAACTGCCAGCACAGTTACATGCTAGTCAAATCACTTGCTAACATCACTGCTTCTCATCTAATCCACAACTACCACTGCTGCACTCGCTGGCTTACCTTTTAAAGCACATCACCATCGCAATACTCAGTACAGAAGGATAACAGTCAGAGAACGTCAGTCTCAGACCGAGAATGGCGTTTGTACTTGTACACAGATCACAGAGTAGCCGGGGTTGGCAGGGAGCTCCGGTGAGAATCTGGTCTAACCACCCTACTCAAGCAGGGTCACCTAGAGCAGGTTGTCCAGGACTGTGCTCTGCTGGGATTTGAATACCTCCAAGGATGGAGACTCCACGACCTCTCTAGGCAACCTGTTCCAGTGTTCAATCACCCTCACGGTAAAGAGTTTTTCTTACATTCAGATGGAGATGTTATTAAGAAGTAGCCTATTCTGTAGTGAAAGCTGAAACTAGCTTCTCATTACAGATTTGATTTACTTTTTTCAAAGCTTCCCCTAAAAGGAATAAGCTGAATTGTCTGCATTTTTAATACACCTTCTCTTCCAAGTATTTTTAAGTTTTGGATTTTTTCATTGGGTTTTCTTTTTGGAAGAAGATGACAAAGTTGCAGGAGAAATTTTAAAGTTAAGGTCCTGAAAAACATTCTCACCATTGGCTTTTTTATTCAAAAAAAAAAAAAGCTAGAGCACTACAGTGTTTATATGCTTTGTTAAAAGTACTGCACAGTATTATAAAACCTAGATATTTTATTGAATTTTAGAATTTGTTATAACACTTAAAAGACTAACATCACAAATTCAAACACCACCACAAGTCAACTTCTCCATATAGCTTTGTATCAGTACTTCCTGATTTATCTAACACTACAGTTTTAGCATTCTACTTACAGTCATGTATTTACAGTGAAGAGGTCTGTGGAAAAATAGTGGAAAAGAGATGGAAAAGACTTTGCATCATCCTCTGTGTCTGGATGCAGCAAGAATGAAAGACAAATGGAAAACTAGGCCTGGAGTCCCATTTTGTCAGCTAGCTAAAAATCCTATGGCTGATCTCATTCAGACAGAGCATGCCAATTAAGAGACAAAAATATTAAGTCCATTTGTTAAAATATATCCAAAAGTATATGAAAGAGGAACAGTACTTGTAAAGCAATAGCCACAAAACAAAGCTTCCCTTGTAATTTTAAGGCCTGTTATCTTAAAATGCTGCAAGCATTTGGTTAGAGTGCTGTAGAAAGATTGATGAGTGATTCCTTTTAATAAGCATAAAAGAGAAGTCAAAGTAAACCAGGAATATACATACTAGCATTTAAGCCAGACTTAGTTAGAACAGTTAGGATGCCTATCAATGAAATCAGTTAGGAAACTGTACAGAAGATTACACCGCCTCTGAAGAAGAGTTTATCTTCATAAAGAATTTTTTTTTTTTGCTTATCTTAAAACAAACAACACAAACTGCTTTAGGCATTATGTGCCCATTTTGTGCCACGATACCTGAAACACAAGGGAATCTCAAACATCATAATTCCATAAAATTCACTTTCCGTTACTGCAAGTTCTAACTGACTTATCCATGGCACATTATAAGAGCTTGTGTGTTAGCACATTTTATAGCTGAATACTTTCCTGTTACCATTTCCCTTGGACTACTAAAGAGCATGTATGCAAAGATAAAAGTCTATTTGGCTTGTCCGGCATTCAGAAAGGCACGTTAGCTACCTCAGAAATCTTATAATATGAGCTAAAGATGCCAAACAAGAGAAACACAAGGCAGAAACATTCTAATAGTGCTGCTGAGAGATTATTGCTCAGCAGATAAAAGCTGGAAGGATTCCTGGAAGAAATGAGAGTTAAGGAGGGATTTGAAAAAGAGGAGGAGGTGGTGCTTGGCATATTAAGCAGTGCAAGACTGTTCCAAACACGCAGCATAACATGAATGAAAGCACAAAGCCAAGGCCTTGTCTAGGCTACGATTCAGAGGTGTGTTTGAATCTTTCAGTTACTACCTGTTAGCAGAGAACTTTCAAAATACTGTTCTAGACACGGAAGCGCTCATATTCACAGTTCAAGCCCAAGATTCCTCAGTGGCCAGAGAGCACCAAAACAGAGGCAAACTTGGCTAACGCAGAGCAGAGAAATCCGTGGACAGCATCGCGAGAAGCATCAAGAGACTAAAGCAAAGGGGAGGATGAAAAGCTATCACAGGGGACGCCGAACGAGAACCTGCCAACAGCTACACTAAGGAGCGAACGGCCATACGTACGGAGACGCCCGCCATACAAAGCCCGAGCCTAATCTCGTTGCTCCCATGTATCCCGCTCCACACGGCCCCCCAG